ATTAAAAGTCAAAAAATATCAAGGAATATAATTTGCCTCCTATTGATTTTGATTATACTAACAGATTTTTTAAATGAATGATCAATAATGAAATTGTTACTTCATGAGAGTTGTCGTTCGTATGGGGGCGACAGCTGATTAACGGAAAAACAAATTTTAAACAGAACAGATGTATTCACCTCTGCACTTCTCGATTTTTTGGATGTCGTAAGAGTAATATCATCGGGGAAGACAAAAAAATTGTGAGGTGACATGTAGAAAAAGAGAACATTTATACAGATCATGAATAAAAGAAGGCCCAGAACCGAACCTTGGAGAACCCCATATGTTCTATGTCGGACACATTGTTCGAATTAAGTGTCACACATTGGTACGTCAGATATGGAGAGAAAAAAGAGAAGGAGGTTCCTCTTATTCCACAGTCATCTAATTTTTTCGATAAAAAATAATGGGAGACGCAATTAAATGCTTTTGTTAGATCACACACAACAGCAATAGTCTTTTCTCTTCTTCCAAAGCAAGTTATTATAGTTTCGATTATTTTCTCCACCGCACTGATTGTAGAAGATGATTTCCTGAATCCGAATTGATTTGTGCTGAATAGCTTGTGCTTATGAAAATACTCATAAAGCCCGTTTTTCAGGATTATTTCCAATATTTTTCCGGAAATTGGGACGATCAATATTGATCGATAATTTTCAATTGCATTATCACTGCCTTTCTTGGAGATTGGAACAACTAGAGTCACTTCGAACTCACTTGGAAATAAACTTTTTACGATACACACGTTGAAGAGTATTCCAAATGGTTGAATTAGACATAAAGCCGTTTCTTTAATAATTCTACTGTTAAGTTCGTACGCATCGAACGAGTTTGAGTTTTTCAAGATATTGCACCGGCAAACTCACTCTTCAGCGAAATTACTTTCACGATTTTTTATACCTTCTCCATTCTTTTCAAAATCAATGAGTCTCAATTATCTCTAACTTTATTATCCGAATTTATAATAAAGTTATCATATGAACATCGTTTCGCTGATATGATACAATGAACACAATGAAGATACATTTGTGGTAAGCGGGCCTTACACCCTCGCACACACCCTCATACAGGGGTATTTATTTCAAAGGGTATATGACGGAGAGTTTGGAAATGAAGACAAGATTAAGTTTTGATAATGAGGAATAATGGTTGAAAAAATAAAGTGATGGCTCGATTGAAAATATTCTGCAGCTCACCAGCTGCACGACTGATATAATAAGTATTCACTGACTCACTCACTATAAATTAACCAACAAAATTCATATCTAAGAATGGTGGGGTAGTGTTTACACAAAAAAACAGAAAAAAAATGAACTCGTTTTATTTTCAAAGGTAAATGTATATTTTTATTATATCAATTTCAGATGAACTATTGGTTGAAATTACTACTCCTGTCGACCTTTCTAGGATTTGTGAAAGCGCAACATTTCATAAAGTTGGTTGTTCTTGCTGGTCTGGGTCTTGCCGGTTTGTGGATGGTACATACTCTTGCACAAGATTTCAATGTGATTCAAAATAATAGCAATAACAACGATGGAGAAAGAGGTTTGTTCAAGAGATCGATTCCTGATAAAGATAAGGTTATTGATTGGGAAATGGTCCTTTCGAGAGATCCAGCAAGCTGCGCTAGGAGCTTCCTGTGTCAACTCGTAGCTACAAAGGAACAGCTTTTATCAAATGAAGAAAAACTGATGCTAAATTTGGTCAGGTAAATAACCATATATTTCTTCTAATACTGATTCAATTACAAAGCAGGTACAGAAAAAGTTTCATTGTCTAACAGACAAGACAATGTAAACACAGGAAGAAAAAAATTATAGAGTAAAACTTTACTTTCAATTGTGGTTGAACCAGTTACCTGCTTATTTGCAGAGTTTCAATACTTGCTAGAAAATCAGGTGAATTGTGACCTCAATATTCAACAACTAGTCGACGCTGATCTGAGTAAGATTCAGAAAATCATATCGTCACTGTCAAAAGCTGGTCAAATCAGACAAAAAAATAGAAGTGAAGGCACAAAATTTGCACCCAGATCAAAACACCATCATAAATGAAATCTTGAAAAATCCTTATCGATACGATACCTGAAAAAAATTTACTCGGAGTCAAAGATCTCAAAAAGGGTTTTTGCGATTATTTTCAGCAATTCGTTGAGTTGTTCCATAAAATTAGCTCAGACAAAGTTGTAAACCAGATAATTATCTATGAAAAATATCTATATACTGTTTTTCCTAAGAGCCACCGCTTCTGAGATATAACAAATCAAAAAGTTGAAAGAGTTGTAATCGTCATAATATGCACACGTTTCCACGTCACCTTTTAGGTAGTGTAGGTACTTACGCGTTTTTTAAACGTGGTTTTCTCGGTAGGCCTATTCCACGGATCTGCTGTGATTCAATTTGATTTGAAACTATTGGACAATAAAAGATATTGGCAAGGATTGAAAATGATGAAAGCGGTGTAAATTGAAAAAAAATATAGGGAAATTTGTTCGTCTGATTCACAATTTCCTAACGCTTCCGCTTCCTCTTCTTTTTATTGTTGTTCGTCTTCTCCTTCTTCATCCTGGGTGCAAGTAAATTGCCTCAATAGTGATACATGTATCCTCGTTGATATCAAACAAATCCTCAACTTGAAAAATGAGATTTGGAACTTCCCATGTTTTCATACCACTTTCATTTGTACCTAACGTTACTTCAGTTTCGTCCTACAAAAATTTTCAAACGAGATTATTGTATTTGTTTGAAAAACATTAGAGCACGACCGGTCTTGACAATTTGTACATGCTAGAGAACAAAACAGCCCAACTTTTTTGCAACCACATTTAGCACTAGGTACATTCTTTTTTATAGTTTCAAAAAATTGTGTCTAGCAGTATTTCCGGCGCAGGTGGGAGTAAAGTCTGAACCGGTTCTAATGTATTGTCTACCAACTTCCAACCCCAGTCTTTTGGGTCTAGCTGATAACCAAGCCACACTTGAACTTGGTAATATATTCGTAAAAGATGTTGATGAGCAGACGCTCCATAATAAAGACAAAAAATCTAACGATTATTATTTTTGCGTTTCTGATATTTCTCATTGCTTATTCAAAACCCTTAATGATAGAAGTAATACTGATATATATTGATACTCTTTTTTCAACTGCAGGTGACCCCATATTTCGTATACCTTTCAGAATTCCGCCGAAATGATAATAATAACCACAAACAGTGGCGTAGCTTGAGTGGGGGCCACGACCCCGGGCGGCATACGAAAAGGGGCGGCAGGAAACGCCAATTATTCAGTCATTCTTGCCACAGAAAACGATGTAAGAGATCCTGTAGGCTTCAGGGTAGACTTAATCCACGTTCATCTCAATTGTTGCTATAAAATCGTTGAATCCCGGCTGAAGGTGAGGCCCATATATTTGGCGGTAATCAACGATTCCCTCAATTTAAAATGCGAAGTTAATTTACTAGTCAAGTTTTTTTGTTATATGCGTTAGGAGATTCTAGTTGGCTCCAGTTTATACCAGCGTTGGTGGTTAGACCAACCAACGCCCACATAAAAATTTTGCAAACTATCTTGGGTGTCACACCATAGGTGATTCCACTTATGTCTTGCTAGCGTTAACGCAGTTATTTTTATCAATTTCTCTTTTTGGTTTTTCACATTTCGTTTTCAATCAAGGATCGCCTGTCCGGTACTGACGATGCCCAATAGGTAGAAACAGCTGTTAGAGAGAATATTTTGTAAAAGTTCTTATATGGTTTTCAAGGCCGTAGCCAGGGGGGATCAACGGAGATTGATCCCTCCGAAAGTTCTACAAGCAACGGCCATCCAAAAATTATATCGAATACAACGATTGGCTTGTTTAAACATCATAGGAGTCATGAGAATAACACCAACCGCGGTAATTAAATTAATTACTGGTATGTACCCTCTGGACCTGTACTTTAAGAAGGTTGTGTTAAACTGTTAATGACCATGTTACGATTGCACACGGCTGGTGTAAACCTCGAAGTAGGAATGGGTTAATTGAGGCTGAGTCTATGGCGAGAAGCGCACACTACATAACCTCTGCTGCAGGCAACCAGTGATACAATTGTTTGTGTTTAATAAACCCTACAAAATACCAATAAAACAGAACACAAAGTCAGATGCTACGAATGCAATACGCATATATACAGACGGCTCAAAAACCAAAGGAGGCTCAGGATATGGAGTGTACTCCAGATCACCAAGCCTAAGGAATGAGTAGAGAATGGGAAAAAATACCAGCGTGGTTAAAAAAGAACTGGCTGGTATCTCAATGGCCACAAAAGAAATAACCAGGAAAGGAATTTCTGGCAAAAAAATAACAATCTGCACTGATAGCAGACAAGCCCTATTAGCCTAGAACAGACGTGTTCCCTCTGGGCTAATACTAGAGTGCCACCAAGATTTAGCCAAAGCCTCGGTAGATAATAACATTACCTTGAGGCGGATTAAAGGGCACGACAGGAGTAAAGATAATCGCATTGCCGACTTTTCAGTCAAGGAAGCGGCTGGACTGAAAATTCTAGGACCCAGTGGGACCTACAGCCTGATGATTTCGACCATTGCGGAACTAGCCAAACGTTACACCCATACTCAATCCCTAAAGAGATGGGATGAAATCAAAGGATTCACTCTTGCCAGGATCACCCTGGGCGTCCCTGGGAAGCTGGCCACGAAGAATTATCTAGCGATGACCAGGAAAAATCTACGCTTAACAGAAGAATTTCAGACAACTAAGAAAACACCTCCATAATATGGGGCTAGTGGACACACCTATATCCAGGATGTGTGAACAGAAAGATGAGACTGTCAAGCATGTCCCATGCGAGTGCCCGGAATTATCGCCTGAAAAGGACAGGATCAACGATGACTTAAGACAACTCCTTGGGAGGATGTACAATGGCCTAAGTGCTGTGGGTCTACACTCACCCTCCCTCCAGATAAAGATACTATTGGAATTATGAAATCCGTTAGAAATTTTATCAAGTCCTTGGCAAAACGAACCAAGTGCTTGAAAGAGAATATTGAAAAAAACTTCCCCGAAATACAATGGAAAAACCTTACGGCAATGTGCGTACAAACTTTCGAAGATCTTGGCGACTCTACCTGTTTCCACATGTACCCCTGAAAGGACTTTCTCTTCTCTGAAATGCCTCAAAACTCATTTAAGAAACTCCACAAGCCAGAAACGACTAAACGGTTTGGCGTTAATGTCAATCCACCGTAGAATTGACATTGACACCGAGGAGGTAATTGATTTGTTCGCTGCAAAGAAAGCTAAAAAACTAAATTTGATTTTGTAAAAAGATGTTAATATTTCTGTAATGGTTTTCTAATAAATATGTATGATCATGTAACACAATTTTCTTCTTTCGTTATTTTTCTATTTCATGTTTTTCTACTGTTCCACCAAATCAACCCCCCCCCCCGAAATTGTTTTCTGGCTACGGCCTTGATGGTTTTCATACTAATTACGACTGGAATCCTCATTGCCAAAAGCCTTACAAAAAATGGGACATGAAAAATTTTCAAGAGACAGTAAATGTAAGATCATCCATACAAGAAAAAATAACCTTGACTGAGTAGGGGCATATTATCACGTTTACCAACTTATTTATAAGGCAATATAAATGTCCTTTTTGAAATAAAATAATTAATTCAACAAAATCCCCTGCATTTTGAGGTAACTTTTTTTCCCTATTTTCCTGCCCCATTTTTTGTAAGTCATTTAGTAAAAATAATCTCTATCATAACTATCATTTGAATTAATAAAAGCCGTACAAGAACTTTTCAAATTACCCCCCAATTTTTTTTTATTTCTGAGGTTTTCACGTACAACTGAAAGCAAAAGGCTGACTTATTTTTTTATTTAAAGACTATAACAATAATTTTTGCGAGATATATGATCCCCCAAAAATTGAGCATGAGCTTGTGGTCTATAACACAGATAATGATAGTATCAAAATACACCTCTAACTTTTTCTCATGTATACACACATTTATTATTTATTTCTCAATCTGAGCATAATACAGCTACTTCTACATGAAGACCCAACTATGAAACAAAACACATACAACTTCTATTTCTAGTGAACAGTCTGGTTAGTTAAGCGTAATATTTCAAATTTTATTAAAATACTCACCCCTCCCAGTCATTTAAACTATTTAGATCTGATTAAATTTTGAAGAACATTGTAAAAAGTGTTCTTAAGTACTGGCGTTATGATATAACATCAAAGGGAGTTGAAAAAATGCGTTAACAAGGGCTTATTGCTTTACCCAGTGCCATATTCATATGGATGACAACCCTCAAAAGTAGAAACGTGTGCTAGCCAAGGATTAGCGAGGTCTTACCTTCAACCTACAATTCCTATCACATTATTACATAATTACTAAATTATCCTTACTATTGATATACATTTTGGAAAAACCTTATTATTTATTGATCCATTTGTAAAATATCGACTTTTGGAAAAATAATAAGTTGATTTTTTTTTGTTACCATATTCTTAAGCTGCCTATTTATAATCGAAATTTTGGAATTGGTGTCAATTAAACTCTTCCAAGAAGGGTTAATGGCATTTAATAAAATCCTTAATGGTTTAGTTGAAGCAGTCCACAATGAGCTTATTAAATATTGAATTTAAAATCAGCTTTAGACGTTTCCAAGAAATATAAAGTCTAATTTTATGCAATATTCATGTTATTGGTGCTAGTTTTTTGTGAAAGACATCAATCTGGATATTCCACGAAAATGTTTTATATATATGAAGATATGATTTTTTTACCTTTATAATAAATCGAATTTTGCCCAATATGTGTTTTCATTTTCATCAATTTTAGATTGCCTAAATATCTTGTCAAAAGGTAAGATATATCTCAAAAAGTAAGATATAGTTAGTTGAATTGTGGCAAAGTGCTATTGAATGATAAATGAGAGCCATTATTTATTCATTAAATATTTCGGTACACTAGATACCTACATGTCTATATCATGATAAAATACAAACAAAAACCAAAAAAACAGAATATTACAAAGAACCAATAGATATAATTCACGTGAACTAAACATGCACAGCACAGAAATTCACGTCATTAATATAAATGCGCAAAAAGTTATAAGTTGATATATTATATCTCCTGATGATGCTAACTTGATTAGCGAAATATGCTTTGAGAGACAGTATTTTTTCTGAGGGACGGGTTCCAAACTCAATTCTAATTACTTTAAGACTTCCTCGTGAATATACTAACACTTCTGCAAAAGTAATTTCTTCAGTTCAGGGTGTCTTCCAACTTGGGTCACCTTCAACTTTGAAATTTCACATATGGACCTGTATTTTTTGTAGTTATTTTTTTTGACCCTCTATATTCATTCCACCTTGAAAAAGTTAATCACTCTCGATATTATTTAGAGTTGCAGATATTTGAAGAACACCAGATAAATATATTTTTTATTATGAGCCTAATAAATTCTTTAATCGAAGCAAAACAATGGCATACATCACTTTTTCAACCATACCTGATTGTCGAAAAATTATTTGTTGTTCCATTTTCATTTGGATGAATAAAGCATCAAGTACCTAAAATCTGTTGATATCGCAACCAGAGGGCCGTGAAGATTTCCCATGTCATACAACCTCCACAACCTCAAACTTTTGTTCCATCCCCATTTTGACTCATGCGGTGTTCAATAAATACAGGTTTGACTTCTTGAGGGAGTCAATTACTAATTAAATACAAATAGGTATTCAATAAATATTGATCCCTGCCTGATACTCCAAACAATTTTTCTCTTTGAACTGTTTTTTTACCCCAAATAGTTCTCGTCAAGCTAATCGTTTAATGATGTCTTGGTTCAACCACTCTTGGACCTGAGAAGACAATACTTTGAAACTGGTTTGTGAGTGATTCATTATTTCTAGTTGAATCAGTTCTTGCTCTTGGACACTGAGAAGTAATTATTTTTAAAAGCTGTTAGGTAGAATAATCAGGAGAGAATAATATTTCAAATGTTATTTGAATTATTAATTTTCTTATTGTAGTTATCCCTCTCCTACAGATTGTTTTCTCAAATTTCAATAAAACTATTGATTCATTTTAAAACAACTCCATTCAGTTCAATTATAACGCTTTTCCATTCTCGAATCACTAATGATTATTTATAGTTTATAGATTTGCCAAAATTGAAAACGAGTGACAAGTCCCAAGTCATCACAGATAAATACAGTGGAAATATATTTTGAAATAGACTGAAACCATATTTATCTGCTCGAGAATCAATACCATAGTTTGTGACAAATAATGATAATCTTTATTGCTTCAGTAGATTATTTCATCATTGTGTAAACAGTTACAAACTGTTTACACAAAAACATGTATGCACATTTTCCAGGAATATGTTTGAAATTATTTTTCATAGAGAAAAAAGATTGCTGTACTGTTTGTTACTATTAAATTCTTCTATTAGTTGTTTCCTCTAAAATGTCGCATTTTTTAAATTATATTTTCAACTTATAATTTTTTGAATATATGGTGATAGAAAACAGAAATTCTTGAATTCAAAGAAATTTGACTGATATTGTCTTTCAGCAACTTCTGTTGTTGAGGCTTCTCTTCAAGATTGAAATCTATCTCATTATTTTTCTCACCCAGAAATCGTTTTCACTGCTGAAAAATTTGTTTTCATGTCTGAAAAGTCTAAATTTTAACATATTTAAAAAACACACTTCATTGTGGGATTTCCATTTGAAAGTTTACAAAACCGTGACACGTGTTTCGCTATACAACAGCATCTTCAGACATCAAATACTGTTTTTACAAATTCTATATCGTGCTTTTATAGTAATTTGAATTATGAATATTACTACCTGCCAAATTTCTACATGACAAATTCATTACCTAAACTATTCACCTATCTAGGAATAGCTCATAACACTTCTTTTAAGATCTGTCAAAAATACCAATTTCTTCCTTTGCAAAGTAAATTCATTAAAGAAGAACAATTCAAATCTATTTGACCATTGAGCAATAATCCAAATTTTTTTCTTTGATTTCTTTTGATTTCTAAACATTCCAAAAGATTGAGTTTTGAACCTTTCTCTTTCAAATGCAATACCTACGTCATAATTGCGACTGAACTCGCGTCCATCGGTCAAAAAATGATTTGCAAATGTTAAATTGGTCTTTCCATTCAAAAAACTACTCATATGCACTTCTATCATTTTGGAAAAAGTTCTTTCGGTTTGTCCGATATAAAAATTTGAATAAGAACCACAAGTCAACTTGTATACCACAGATCCATCTGAAACTGAAGTTTCATCTTTATTGTTTTCAATGAGTTCACTTAAATTATTATTTTTATAGGCATTTTCTTTGCCTTTTAATGCAAAAGTAAATTCATAAACCATTAATGATAAAACTAAGTCTATTCATACGGTAACAGCCAAACACCATCAAATTTCACCATCGTTTGCATCAGATAACTACAGAGCTCCAATATCAATAAACTTTTCATTTTGATGAAATATATGGGGTATTTTATATAGAATGTTTTCCAGATGAGTTTAAGCTGAAAATTAGGTGCCTTTTTTGTGCTGTTGACAATTTCTGAATGTATAAAAAATATATACAAATGTTCTTCATTTGGGAAAATAAATTGGATTAATTCGTCATTTTTCAAAAACTTTTCTACTAGTAGAAAACAAAACTGCTGAAACAAATTATGAGATAAACTAAAACACAGCTGTCCAATAAAGAATTATTTATTCTGTGAATACAAGTACAACTTGGTTATTTAGTTATATTCTAAAAAATGTATTAAAATGAAAGTGATATATTATTTCAGAAAAAGTACTAACATATGCAAGAAAATTTCCAAAGCATTCTATCGAGATAGAATGATAGATTTCACACAGCCTTCTATTAATTTTATAAATTTGTCACAAGATCATCCATGCCTACTGGTTGATGCGAACAAAAAGAATATGAAATTTTTATTTCTTGTTTTGGAACATTCAACAATACTGAACTGGTCGTCCGGTATACACCTATCACCTCTGATACATACTGCAATAACCAAGGGAATGATATCGGACAGAAAACAAATGTCAATAGTTTAAAATTATCTAAAAGTGAAAAGAACAATGAACAATTGAAACATAAGAAAACGATACTAGGAATAAGCAAACGTAACTGAAATTATCCAAACTGGGTGATTTAAATACCTAGGGTATTTCAATAAATATTCTGGCTATCAAAATAAAAAATAGTTCTCATAGAAATAAATAATAATTATACACATTCTCTTACTCCTGTGTAACTTCATTTCTTGCCCTTTTTATCTCCTTGAATATCTTTCAAAGTAGAGCCAGTAGCCTCTGCTAACCGACTCTTCAACGCTAGAAGTTTCTCAACCTCTGGAGCCCATAGTGATTTATTTGCTCCTCCTTCCTTGAGCTTCCTCACCTCTAAAGCCTTAAAAAATATATTGTTAATGATGATGACCTAATATTTTTTTTGTAAGTTCCGAAAAAATCAGATACCAAGAATTATAGGTAAATATCTACTTAACAAATCCTTGTAAAATTATGAAGAGAAACTTCCAAATAAATTTATTTCAAATGATTTTTTCTTTTAATTTGTATCTGAAAGACACTTATATGCATGTTCTATGAATTCTTGTGAAAAGTTTTTACTGATATATTCAATTTAGAGAAGTGTTGTTGTATTTCGACAAACATCAATTAAATTATTACAAAATATTTTCATACTTTTTTATTAGATAATGGAAGTCTGAACTAGTAAAATTCACCATGAAACATTGTCAACCACTTTCAAACAAATTTTCATACATATTTACATGTGCTTTTTTCCACATAAGCCACTCGAGTATCAAACAAACTTATTAAATATATTCTTTATTTGACAATATATTTTTCATTTTACATTCAATAAATATATTTTGCATTAAATTGATGGATATAGCCATTACTACGTGGTAGGAAAGCATAATGAAGAAAAGAGAATTGAAACTTTCTATGTTTTTTACCACTTTTATTTGTAACTAACGTTACTGCAGTTTCGTCCTATAAGGACATTTTCAAACTTATACATTATATAAAAAGTTTAATGTATAAGTTTGAAAATGTCTGTATAGGATGAAACTGCAGTAACGTTAGTTACAAATAAAAGTGGTAAAAAACATAGTAAGTTTCAATTCTCTCTTCTTCATTATATTTTGCATTCTTCAATAAACATCATATTAATATGATACATGTGTAACAATTCTCGGAAATGTTCTCCAATAAACTGAAACAATTTTTACTAAGTTTTATGTAAGAAGAGTTACAGTAGTTAGTTTGAAGGTATTTCAACTGTATGGAATAACATTTATATATTTACATTTACATAAGCTACCTGTGTAGTGGAAATAGATCACCTCACTTCGGGTAAAGACAAATTTTATTACACCACATGTAAAAGTTAGTTAATAAGACCAATCATAAACAACTACTCACTTGTTTGGCTACCTCCTGTTCAAGTTTTTTAACTTTTTCTGCATCCATTGTGATAATTTGAACTGTTTTTTTCTGAACAACTGCAGTTTTCTGAGCAACTTCTAACTTTTTTTTCAGTTCTTGAAGTATGGTAACTTCTGGTTGCCAGACAGTTTTTGCAGCACCACTGGATTTAAGGAGTCTCACTTTATCCCCCTAAAATTGAAATAAATAACATATGCATGACTTGTATCTATTTAAGTATGATTTATCGTGACAGCAATATCAAACATGAACTTGTATATTTGAATGAAACTAAAAACAAAATTTCGACAAGTAAAGAATGCATTTAAGGGACACTTCACTGAGAGATTTTCTAACAAAAATTTAACAGACAGCATATAATAAATCACATATTGCGGTTTTGTGAACTAGCTATTAAAAATCTCACAAAGTGTTACTTAACCCTTTCGCTGCGTAAAGCGCACATGCGCGCCTTCCCGTTTCTTTGTAAAATGCGTATGGCGCTCTTGAGCGTCCTGTGTATATGGAGATTTATCTAATATTTAAAATGTGACGCAGTTTCGGGAGATTGAGCAAACTTTGTTCGCATTTTTTTAAAGCTAACTACTGTTTATAAATGGCGTCACGTCTCAGTAATTCACATAGGTAATGTTTAGGTTAGGTTTGTAGGTTCAAGTCTGTTCATTGTGATTATAAATTTAATTGTTTGTATTTGTATTATAATGGACGATATAAATAAAGCTGGGCCTTCAGGTGTAAAAAGACGTAAGACTGTGCAAGTGAAAAATGAACAAAAACTGACTGTTGAGGAAATGATGCAGTTTTTATATAATTCAAATTCAGATGATGAGTATGAGGACGAATGTGATGTAAATAACAGTAAGTAGATGAATTTCATAATGAATATGTGGTTTGAAATTAATATTTTTAGTTGGAATTGAAAATGTTTTTGAAAGTGACTCTTCAGGAAGTGATACTGAGGATGATGTAGAGAACAAAGTAAATAATACTGACTTATAGATTACAGAACATGAATGGACCAAAACAACTAGCGGTATGAGACAGATTCAGTTTTCAAAAAGAAATGAATTGTTAGTCGATAGTCCTGGTGATTGTGCGTATGATTGGTTTAGGATGTTGGTTGATGATGAACTTTCAAATATGATTGTCTCACAAACTAACAGTTATGCAGTTGAAGTCCTTTCTACCAGCAGAGGATGTGACCGTTTAAGGATTTCTGTTTGGAAGGACCTGACAATATCAGAATTGCTAATATTCATTAGATTAACCTTTGAAATAAATGGTTTTCTTATTCATCTGAATTCTCACAATTACTATTGTAAGACAAGTAGATAAATGTTTTATACAAAACTACTGTTGTTATTGTTTTGCAACAAAAATTACTTGCAACTTATTTGAAGTTTACAAAACTTTTTATTTTTTTAAGGCATTCATCAAAAGGAGACACCTGGGCCAGTAAACAACTCCAGGAGGCTCTGAAAAATGGAGAGAAAATCACGAGGCCTTCTCAATGTATGAAAATTTATAAATATTGTCCTTTCACGAGTCAGATGATGATGACACTGTTAAGAATGTTTGGAAGATGAATTATTTACAGCTTCCTCAAGTAATTAATGATTTTAGAATGATTTGTACATAATTTTCCTTTATATTTATAGTACCAATTATTTTAAGTTTTTCTTATTCAGTTTCTTATCCACTCGTTAAGAAAATATATACTTTGGAATTAGTAAGAAAATAATTGTTCATGACCAATTTCTGTCAAGTACCTATTTATACCTTCTAATAGACTGTACTGTAAGCCTATGCTGAGTTTTTAGGGTGTCATTTGGCACCTCCTTAGGATGTATGATTTTTATAGTCCTGGAGTAAAAAATGAGTTTCAGCATTTTACTGTTGTAGGTAATGTATCTGAAAATGTGAAAACACAAGCCCAAGAGAGAGCATATTTTGTATAAGTTCTTGTATGGTTTTCAAAGCCGTAGCCAGGGGGGATCAACGGAGATTGATCCCCCTCCGAAAGTTCTACAAGCAACGGCCATTCAAAAATTATATCGAATACAACGATTGGCTTGTTTAAACATCATAGGAGTCATGAGAATAACACCAACCGCGGCAATGGAATTAATTACTGGTATGTACCCTCTGGACCTGTACTTTAAGAAGGTTGTGTTAAACTTTTAATGGCCATGTTACGATTGCACACGGCTGGTGAACACTTCGAAGTAGGAATGGGTCAATTGAGGCTGAGCCTATGGCGAGAAGTGCACACTGCGCAACCTCTGCTGAAGGCAACCAGTGATGCAATTGTACCCAGGTTTGTGTTTAATAAACCCTACAAAATACCAATAAAACAGAACACAAAGTCAGATGCTACGAATACAATACGCATATATACAGACGGCTCAAAAACCAAAGGAGGCTCAGGATATGGAGTGTACTCCAGATCACCAAGCCTAAGGAATGAGTAGAGAATGGGAAAAAATACCAGCGTGGTTAAAACAGAACTGGCTGGTATCTCAANTTTCAACTGTACCATTTTGTTCAGGATTATATGCGGAGCTTCTTTCATGGATGATTCCTCTCCTTTGTAAATGATTTTTGAATTGTTGGTTAATATATTCTGCTCCATTATCTGTCCGGAGTATTTTCATTTTACTCTCACTTTGTCTTTCGAGCATTCTCTCAAATTCGAGGAATTTAGAATACACATCACTTTTGTGTTTTATGAAATACACCCAACGATATGAGGTGTACTCGTCTTTGAACAGAACGAAGTAATCAGCTCCACCAATGGATGTACAAGGCATCTTCCCACTTACATCTGAATGTATATATTCTCCGGGTCTAATAGCTCGTTCATTGATACTGGCTTTGAATGGTTTTCGAGATTGCTTCCCAAATTAGCAGGATTCGCAGAACAAACCTTCTGTACTGGCTATTTTCAGTCCTGGGATTCAACCTGCATCGGCTACTTCCTTCAAAGTTTGGAAATTACCGTGGTCTAATCTTTCATGCCTTAACATAACTGAATTGGGTATGCTTGCTACATTGGCTTGGCTTTCTTTAGGGTTTTCAAATAACATTTTGAAGCAATGATTATACTGTTTTCTTCCAGCTGCCACTAACTTTGTAAAGTTATAAATTTCGATCTTATCATTTTTAAAAATAACCTTCAAAATTTTTTTCAGTCACAGCTCCCACTGAGAATAGATTTTTCTTCAGATTTGGCACATGAAGGGTATTTTGTAAAGTACATGATAGCTTTTCCTTTCCTAACACAGCTTCCACTTCTATTGAACCAATTCCAACATTCAACATTCTTCTTTTGCTGAAGATTCAAACAATTAGCATGGCTACTAGAGGAGTCGTATCTATCTGAATGATGCGAATTCGGTTTAGCTGCTATAAATGCGGTTGCGGCTTCGTCATTTTGGGATAGACTCATTTCTTCCTTCAGCAAACAAGCCGTCAGGTTATTGAACGTTTGTTTGATTCCATCATAGGAATCCCACGCTGTGATGAAGGATCCATATTTGGCAGGAAGACTTCCCAAAAATTTAGCTATTTTGTCGATATCGGAAATCTGTTCACGTATGTCAGCAAGAGCTTGTGCCATTGATTCGATTTTGCTAATGTGCTGAGCAATACTATCAATTTCGGACATTCTATAGTTGAAAAACTCCTGCTTCAGCATCACCATTGCTGTTGAAATGATAAGCATGGCCTTTGAATTGGATTCTTCCCATTCTGTCTTTTTCTTTTCATCATCTGTGGTTGCAGGCTTTTGTTTCTGTCCGTCAACCAGGTTCAGAAGTCCTTCGGCGTTGAAGATAATTTGCATCTGATACTTCCACAGGTGGAAATTAGTTACATCAAACTTTTGGATGTGAAGAGACCTCAGCTTGTCCATNAAGAATGCCGGCTCAGACATTCAATTTTTGTAGAGTTTGTGAATGTGTTTCCATTACCAGAAGAGGATTCACATTACGCCAGTAACAATTATGTCTATTCACTTCACCACTCAATATGAAAGAATTTTCGACTGAAAAACATGTATTGTATAGGTTTGGGGTATTGGTCAATTTCTTGCTGAACACCTAACAAAACTGAAATTGACGATCAGGATCATCTTTGTTCAATTCCCGACCTAGTCTTATTTTGAAAAGATGAAATTTGTAGGCTGATACACCAGACGTTCTAACTACTTGTCTGATAGATTGTCGATTATCCATTTGTACATGTCCTAAAACTACAACTTCAACTCCGTCATTTCTGACAGGTCGGGATACTTAATGTTTTCTGTTGTGAACAGAACCTGAAGTTCGAAACGTATTCATTAACTGTTTGACGTTGTGGTCTGGATGATTCGTATTATAAATTCTTGCATCAGCTTTAGCACATTCATTATTTTGATAATAGGTTGCAACAATTTTTATTCTTTCTTCAGTAGAATAAACCATGTTGAAACACAGTGAACAAGGAAGACTGAATAATAATTCGTGAAGAAGTGACAGTGGCCAACTATTTACTTTTTGTTCTGCAACAACCAGATTCAACAAAATCTACCAGTACAGAAAAAACTAACATTGTCATCCATTTCAAAACGTTTACTACTAGTGACCTTTCTTGTGGCAAAAAAAACATTCAACATTCTTCTTTTGCTGAAGATTCGAACGATTAGCATGGCTACTAGAGGAGTCGTATCTATCTAAATGATGCGAATTTGGTTTTGCTGCTACAAATGCTGTTGCGGCATCGTCATTTTCGGATAGACTCATTTCTTCCTTCAGCAAACGAGCCGTCAGGTTATTGGACGTTTGTTTGGTTCCATCATAGGAATCCCACGCTGTGATGAAGGATCCATATTTGGCAGGAAGACTTCCCAAAACTTTAGCTATTTTGAAAAGATGAAATTTGTAGGCTGATACACCAGACGTTCTAACTACTTGTCTGATAGATTGTCGATTATCCATTTGTACATATCCTAAAACTACAACTTTAACTCCGTCATTTCTGACAGGACGGGACACTTAATGTTTTCTGTTGTGAACAGTACCTGAAGTTCGAAACTTATCCATTAACTGTTTGAAATGGTCTGGATGATTCGTATTATAAATTCTTGCATCAGCTTTAGCACGTTCATTATTTTGATAATAGGTTGCAACAATTTTTATTCTTTCTTCAGTAGAATAAACTATGTTGAAACACAGTGAACAAGGAAGACTGAATAATAATTCGTGAAGAAGTGACAGTGGCCAACTATCTACTTTTTGTTCTGCGACAACTAGATTCAACAAAATCTACCAGTACAGAAAAAACTAACATTGTCGTCCATTTCAAAACGTTTACTACTAATTTAATAGATTCTACAAATCTAGAAGATCTGCGACAGAGAATTGTTTTTCATTATCGATTTGTAGATTCACTTCATTTAAATGAAGTATGTTCCATTTATATTTCCTTGTCATAATCATTCCTTTAGATTTCATTTTATTCAGTTTCACTTTATTTGCCATGTGAGGTACTCATTTACATCCTTTTAAGCTTTATCTGAACTTGTATCGTAGCATGCCAATAGTGTATCATCTGCAAATAAATTTACAAAATCAACATGTATAAACAAGTTTATGTCATTCAAGTAAAAGATAAAAAGCAGAGGTCCTAACACGCTACCCTGTGGCACACCTATAGGTAGATTCAATTCCTGTGAGATATTATCTTGAACTCTGACTTTCTATGGGATAAATAGTCAGATAACCATTGGTAAACATCACCATCAATGCCATAACCTCTTAATTCCATCAGAAGAATATTAATTGTTTTAAAAGCCCTCTTCAGATCAAGGAGCCAGGGATTGAACCCAGAACCACCGACCCTCAGATCTAATTAAAAAACATGAGAAACAGGGCTTAATCGATAACAGAAGCGTGATCAACACGTCAAAATATTTGGTGGATATCATAGTTGCTGTTCTGTAACAGACCACTTTTTGAAAGGCTCCGTCACACACAAATGTTCAATTCATAGTGAAATATCTTATGAAGTGAGAGTGCTATTGCGGAAAATTCTTCTTATTTGTATTTGCGAAACATTTTCAGAGGGAGCAGGACTCTACACTAGAGCAACATGGATGCTCGTATATCCAATCCATTGGCTTTCTAGGAAAACGATGCCAGATTGCAGAAGTGAGAAGTACCGGAATTGGTATCCTTTCACGTTTTTTGTGTCTATGGTATGGATATCGTTCTATTCTTATTTCATGGTTTGGATGATCACTATCATAGGTAAGAGCCAGCGGTAATCAATACCTTCAATGATAGAAATTCATTAAATTCTTTGGTAAATTGAATTAGAGAATAAATTAATCACCACAGTCACCGTATATAAGTTAACAGAAGTAAATTCACTCCCGGTCGGTCTCTTTGATGTTTCGGGTCGAGATTTTATTTTTTCTTGGCATGTAGCGGAGCAGGAGGGTGTAGGCTGAGAGCTGTTGTGCACCCCTGCACGTGGTTCAATAAAAAATATGTGACCATGATCTAACTTCATCATTGCTACGAGGAGCTCCCAATAAATGTCTAATATGATTGTGAACTGTTTACGAATTTATAAAAAATAAGACAAGGTGGTGAAATATACCTATATTTTATATAGTAAGATTATACAATTTAGCTCAGAAACTTATGCTAATCTATTCCAAAGGTTTTTCAGAATGATGAGTTTTTGATTTTTTTTTACATTTGTTTTCAAATTTCTGTTGGCAAATTTCAAAGTATAATCAATTCATACCCTTGTGAAAAGGTGAAATAAATAACCCGAAGGAAAATTATCACAAGGGTGAGAAATGTTGATTTTTGAAAACATTGTTTTGAGCTGGTTGCCTATGCAATCAGTGGCCCATAAATTGTTGAAATGATTAAGAAATTCTGTCTCTAGATGAATGATACATTGTAAAAATGAATCTGGAGGCATATATAAACTTCCAAACTGTTAGGCTACTGTATTACTATATGCCTTGAAATGACTATATAATATACATTTGTTTCATTGGCATTTCCACAAGTATTTCTCTGTTAACCAAAATAATTTTCCACACAGTCCTGATTTATATTCCTCGTCAATATGTAGGAGTCTCCTTCACTATGTAGGTTTTCTCAAAGTTGCAGAAATGCCGAAATTGTTATCTGTCATCCTTCAATGAATCTCATTTGTCCAGTCATGTTTTTTTTCTTTTTTTTGATATTACAGTTAATTTGCTGAAAAATATTTTCATTCCTTTCAGAAAATCAATTTGTTTTGATATTTCGCAAAAAGGTTTTTTGAAATGTTTGACAGCGTTAAATCGTTTTGAATTCAAAACATCAAACACTTCATCTATTTTTTCAATGAATGTAGCGGTTCCTATTACTGCTGATGGTATCTGATTGAAACTGGCATATGTATTCATCGCTGTAGCTACCGAATGAAAACTTGACTGGCTAATTTTACCTTCATCCTTTGAAAGTTAGTTGGAAATAAATGAGAATCAGTAAGTTTGGGTGCTAGTCTATATTGCTTTTCCTTATCCAAGTTGTAAAGTTATTCAATATGACTTTTGTTCGTTGTATATTCATCAAATTTCAAAAAGTCATCAAAAAAATGGTTTCTGCTACATTTCAGCAAAGAGGAGTATCAAAAAAGTAAAATATTTTTCTCATCAACAAAGAAATATGACTGCTCTAGAGTCACTTCGAGATATTTTCTGGTAAGTTTGTAGAAACTAGAACCCAAATCTGAAATGATACCCCTAACTTTCAATCCAATTTTTGATAATTGCCTAACAGCTTCAATCACAATACTTTTTATATTCAGTATTGATGTGGATGAATTGGTAAAAAAGTATGCAACAGGCTGTTTCCAGTTCGAATGTATGCCTTTTGCCATGACTACCAAGGCATATTCTGTTAAAGAAGCCGTTTTCTTGTTAATTTATTCCTCAAAACCAACTATTCTATCCTTTCCTATATTGCAGAATAAGTGTGACCTGATGCTCATTTCATCGAAACAAATGTTGCAATCCTTATCTTGATTACTGAAGTTATTGATTTTTAATCACTCCACTATATATGGTCTATAAAAATTTATTTTATGATTTTCGTTATATGTTCATTATTTCAATCTTACATAATGAATAGTAGAAACACATACCTTTTTTCGTCAATTGGAAATCGAATGAATGCCAACATCACTCTGCAAATTACAGCAACCCACAGCTCGACACTTGTTCATTTTGAAACTAGACATGAATTTTTCACAAATACAAAACCACCATTTACAATGACTCACTCTGTAATAATAATCCATGCCTCAATTTGGCTCGCTTGGTAAACGCCTCAGATTCAGTCGGTTGCGCTGTAGTTTAGCTGCGCATGAAATTCGAGGTGGGGAATTTTGACCCAAATATGGCGGAGAGTGAACTTACTTGTGTTTACTTCTATACGGTGCCACAGTATTCATTTTATTTTCCGCAAGCTAGTTTCTAGTGTTTATATTTTCGAACATAAAATATTATTATGAAAATTTGTAGTTTTGTAAATACGTTTCTGACCGCTTATTACTATAGAACATGAGTGGAAAATATATTATTAGTTTGTTTCAAAACTTTTGTTCATTTTTGATTCTACTTCAAACTGTAATATCTCAATGAATACGTATCTATTCAATTCAATCGAAATGAGAGTCATTTGAATCAGTGCACTCTTGTCAACGTAACACGAGTCGATTAATACCATCGGCGTAATAATTGTGTGCTAGGAATTCGACGAAGTTGACTAAGGCCGTTTTTGCCTGTTCCTGGCACTGGTTTTACCAGTGAAAAAGTTATCGAAGTGATTGAAAAGATAGTAATCGGTTGGCGAAGGGTGTGGAGAGTATGGTGAGTGAGGCAGAAATTCGACACTCAATTTGTTTAATTTGCGTACGGTGATTTCTGAAACGTGCGAACGGGTGTTGTCGAGGAACATGATCGGATCTCTTCTGTTGATCAGAGCTGGCTCGGTTGCAGAAAGTTATGGCCAATAACACCACTGACCGCTGACCACCATTCAGTAACCATAGTCGTTTTTGGTAGGCTTTTGCCTTTGTGGAGTGCCTAGGCAAAGAGGGGTAGACTTCGAAAAGTGATACTTTCTGTCGATCGTCCAAATGATGGTGCACCCACTTTTCGAACTTTTTGACCTCTCCAATACGTTTTGAACCATCAACGCATGGAAGCTGACGCCCAGTTCTTCCACCATTTCACGCTCCGTTTGTGATAGGTCAGTCTCCACCAGGGTCATCAAATCCTCGTCCTGGAAGATGAGTTCCAAAGTGGTCAACCACCACTCATCTTCGAGGCTTAAATCTCCAGAACGTAATAAAAGCACTCTACGACATATATAGTAATAAGCTGAAAAGAGAAAAAAAAATTAAACTCTCGAAAAAATGAACAGTATCAAAATAAAGAGTACAAAATTCTTCATTGATCTTCATACAACTCGAAACTGAAGGATAAATATTTATTGAGATACAGAGCTACAAAAACACATGACATTAAAACGGACAAAACTTTTGAAGCAACCTAATATAACGTCACACGTTCCTCTCCCCCCACTCTCGTTTGACCTGAAAACTGCAAAAACTTCAGCTCCATAAGAAAATAAATGGGATTTTGCGCTCGTGGTCTCTTTGCTCATCTACTGGTGGTTTCAATTTCACGCTGTAGCCGCGGTAGCTGGTTGGTTGACTGAATGATAGCAGAAGAGAGCTCTGAAAGTCTAAGGCCCAATCTACACAGAATGGACGTCTGGCAGAGACGAGGCGCGGACCTTTGTCCCTTCCCTGTGAACTGGGCTTGAGGTCCAACAAACGACAGAATGAATCTGCTCAAATTTGCACGTGTTTCTCCATAAGAAATGGCTTATAACTCCTATAGCTGTATTACTATAACCAATCATTCAAGAATGTTTTTGTGGCAGATTCAGTTTGGTGCTGAATATAAAAAAGTAATATGGTGTTGTATTGTTATTTTTCAAAACTTAAACTTTTTTTCTATCATTGTTATTGAATATTATACATAGTAAGTACATAATTAGTAGTGGTTCCTAATCAAATCAATGAAATGAATTACCATCTGCTTTTAGGAAAATTGGAGACTTTCAGTTTCCTAGATCTAATGTACTGGATGAAAAGTTATCTGCTTGATAGAACCCAAATTGTACTCTCGAAAAATTCCCCATTACGTACCATTAGTGTTTCATAAGAACTTCCACAAGGATCACATCTTGGTCTATCATTATCGAGTTTCTACCTCAATGACTTGTATAACACAAAAAACTAGCTATATATTCATGTTTATTTCTGAAACGTGCGGACGGGTGTTGTCGAGGAACATGATCGGATCTCTTCTGTTGATCAGAGCTGTCCCGGTTGCAGAAAGTTATGGCCAATAACACCACTGACCGCTGACCACCATTTTTTTTTATCAAGATGGAGATGGAGTAAGTTTTTGGCATTATACTACTCCGTCTTGATACAGAAAATGTAGAAATCTTTCAAAGAAAGAAATCAATCAATTTCAAAGGTAGTAACTCTATACATAGATGTTTGAAATGCAAACTGAGTAGAGAAGAGTGTTTTTTGTATAATTCAGAATTCATATGAAAGTATTTCTTTCGAAAGAATGTTTCTTTAGTGCAATTCAATGTTTACATGAAAGTAGTTGTTTCAGGTGGACGTTTTCTTCCAGTTTGTGTATGAAAGTTACTTTTTTGCATGATCTACATATTCATGTATAGAGTTACTACTTTTAAAATTCATTGCTTCCTTCCTTTCTTTGGAAGATTTCCACATTTTTTGTATCAAGATGGAGTAGTTAAAAGCCAAAAACTTTCTTTCCTGAAAATATATCATTTGCAGATGATATCAAGCTTTACAAGGAAATAGTTGATCCTGATATGCATAGGCTTTCACAGCCTGAATCAGGGTTAAAAACAATAAAATTCGGACTAGTAGACCGTGGAGGAATAGAACTTGAAATACTAAACGTTTTGTCTACTTCTGTGGCAGACAGCATCAGCAGTAGGTGCGTCGACTGCTAGGACGAAACTTATATTTCGAAGTCTTAGCAGCGGCTAAAATCAACACAGTCAACGCACATACCACTGAGGATGTCTGCCGCAGTAGTAGGCGAAACTTTTGATACTTTAGGTTCCTTTCGATCACGGCCTACTACCTTGGATTTTGTTCTCTTCAATTCTTGTTGTTAGTTACCAATTTCATTTACCAATTTACCACTCCCCATACCACAAAGAACAGTCCAATTGAATTTATCACAGTGCTCGGATTTCTTCACAAGAGAGAACTTTAGATGGACATGAAAAACCGACGTGTTCAAGTTTCAAGGAAAGAAGAAAATGCACAAAGTCTCTATCGATCCATAAGTTTCCCCGTATTTTAGTCATTCATTTTGAAAGATGTTCTCAAACAGAAAGATTCAGAGGCAAGTTAAATGTTGCCATCGAATTTTCTCTAGACGGATTAGACATGAACAATTATGCAGCAGAAAATATGACTCCTTGTCGTTATAATCTATATGCACTTTCGAATCACAGTGGATCTGCGGACGTTATACAGCATTCTGCAGACATCCTTATACTGGCACGTGGCACAAATACAATGATTCACACGTGTCACCAATTTCACCAAAATCGCTTGTGAGTGGAGATGCATACATCCTCTTTCATGAAAAGGAGGAAACAAGTTCGCACCTTTGAGCATTTTAAAATGTTATTTTCGTACTGTTGTTTTCAATGTTATGATGAATTAGTTATGTAAGATGTATGTTATATTATATTTATATTACATTAGAAAAAAAATTCAAGTTTCTCACCAGTGAAATCAAATTTTGGTTAAAACGTTCACGCTAGCTATCCGAATACCGAATAACATACCAACATATTTCGTGCTTTCTGAGTGGGCTGGATATAAACCAAATCTTGATTTTGCAAAATGGTTCTTCATCAAGTGATATAATTTTTTTCAGGGTACACTTTGGGCATTCCAGACACCGTGATGGGTCTCACATTTGTTGCTGCAGGAGTATCGGTTCCAGATGCGTTATCTAGTATAGCTGTCATAAAAGAAGGGTAAGTTATAATAACTTCTTGATCTAATCTCAAGTATTTACAGTTTTTTTTTCTTTTTTTCTTCTGAAATAATGCCTTCAATTTTTTTCCAGATATGGAGATATGGCTGTTTCTAACGCAGTGGGATCGAATGTTTTCGACATTTTGATTTGTTTAGGACTTCCTTGGTTCATTAAGACTGCTATAATTCGACCGGGATCAACAGTGAGGGTGATAAGCAAAGGTAATTTGATAAAATAATAAATATGGTGCATTGTTGTCTTTTTCGTAATACACATATATGGCCAGATAATTCTTAGAAGAAAACTAAGACCAGAAAAATTCTCATGAAACTCAACCGTTGAACCAACCACATCTGTAATTTTCATCGGAGCCATTTTCAAGAAATACTTAGATTTGTACTTACATGATTGGAGGACGAGGTCGTGATCTTTCTTGTCCCTAACTCTCATTACTACCTCTATGCTTGCTGTGTTCCACTCTAAGTTCTCAGTGCGAACTCTGAGTGGAACGTTTTGCAATTGAAAAATCAGTTGAAACAACTTCTCAAACTTCTTGTTTTATTATTTATATTTTTGTTAATCAATAACTTATCGTTTCTATGAAAACATAAGACATATTTCAATGAGTTGAAAAAAACAAAACTGAAATAATACACAGAGTGACCAAAGCTCTTTGTTCACGTTCTTGTAGAGATGGATAATGCATTTCTATTTTTCATGAATTTCATTTTTGGAAGTGGCTTGGTGAACATGTCTGTAAGTTGTTCCTCTGAACAGACATACAATAGAGATAGCAATCCATTCTCCACTTGTTCCCTTATGTAATGAAATTTTGTGTCGATATGATTGATTTTCCTGTGATGTTCTTGATTTTTAACCAAACTAATAGCACCTTGATTATCGACGAACAATATTGTCGATTCTTCTACTACAATTTTCAATTCATGTAGAAATGAACGTATCCAAACAATTTCTTGAGCGGCATCAGACGCTGCTATGTATTCTGATTCGGTTGTTGATCTCGATACACATTTTTGTTGATGTGAAGACCATGTTACGATACCTCCATTCATCATAGTTGCGTAGCCAGTTGTTGATTTGCGAGTATCAATGTTCCCGGCAAAATCTGCATCAGAAAAGGCTTGCAAGTTCATTCTTTCTGTTCCATATTTGATACCAACATCACGACTTCCTTTCAAATATCTAAATATTCGTTTAACAGCAACCCAATGTACCTTCCTTGGCTTTGACAAGAATCTGCTCACTTGACTTACTGCATACATAATGTCTGGCCTTGTTACAGTTGCCAAAAACATTAAAGATCCTACTGCTTCTCTGTAGGGTATAGATTCCATTTCCTGTTCTTCACTAGTCGTGCGTTATCCCATTTCCAGGACTACATTTGGATCTGCTGGTGTTGAATTCGGATTGCAATCGAACATATTGAACTTCTCCAGGATCCTTGATGAATATCCCTGCTGGCTTATGAAAATCTGGTTTAGTTCTCTTTCTCGATGTATTTCAATTCCCACAAAGTAATCTCCATTTCCGGTAGTTATTTTGAATTGTAATGCAAGTTCCTTCAATACCATATCAATAATTTCAGTTGACTTCGATAAGATCAGTCCGTCGTCTACGTAAAAAGCAATATATATCTCTTCTTCTCGAAACTTTGCGCGAAAAACACATTTGTCTGCATTTAGTTGTGCAAACGAGAATTTGGTCATAAATTTTACAAATTATTGATTCCAGCAACGTGGACTCTGCTTCAGACCATATAGGCTTTTAATTAGCTTGCAGACCAAGGAAGGATCACTACTTTCAAATCCTTCCGATTGACACATGTAAATATTGTCTTGAAGATATCCATTTGAAAATGCCGTCTTGACATCGAATTGCTTCATTTCCATGTTTTCAGCTGCCGCCAGTGCAAGAAAAATTCGTATTGAGTCATATCTAATCACTGGAGAAAACGTTTCGTGGTGGTCGGTTCCAGCTGTGTGTGAATAACCTTCAGCGCTCAATCTTGCTTTGAATCGGAGAATAGTGCCGACCGGTTTATATTTGACTTTAAAAACCCACTTGCAACCAATAGCTGTTTGATCTGTGGGCAGTTTCTCGAAACACCAGGTGTTGTTTTGTTCCAATGAGGCCATTTTTTCTTCCATAGCTTTTCTCCATTCTGTTTTGAAAGCACTAGACATTGCTTCTGAATACGTTTTTGGTTCATCGATGACAGCTGCCATTGCTATGACATAATTTTCACGATATCTAAATGGTATATTGATGGAGGCTTGATTTTGAAGTTGAATACTGGATGGATTTTCTGTCGACTCATTATCAATGATTGAAACGTCCTGCTCGTAATCTTGATGAAATTCTGTTTCCATTTAATTGCGTTCTGCAGCAGGGCTCGTACTGTCTCTTTCTTGAAGTTCTGAGTATCCATATTTGGGACCGTTTTTTGCGACTATATCTTCGTTGAAGTTGACATTTCGCATAATTGAAATTTTCTTCGATTGGGGATCAAGAAGTCTATAATTAGAACTGTATGATTTCGAATCAATGATCACATTTTTTGACAATGGCAGTCGGAACCTTCGAGGTAAACCATGCTTCAAAGTATTGAAAAAATGCAATGGTCTATCCCATGCCTTTTTGACTAGCAACGTTACTTATATTTGGGCCTTCTGTCTGTACCTCTAGAGTAGAGAGGGTGAGTGTCCTACACTCACCCTAGGAGTGTCCTAGGTCATCGTCCATCCTGCCGTTTCCAGGAAAGTGGACATGTCGCTAGGAGACATCTCCTTTATATCGGCAGTTGTAGGCCAAGAGTCGCCGAACACACTCTCTCTTATTGACGGTAACTCCGTGCACTCGTATAGGACATGCCTGACAGTTTCATCTTCCTGTTCACACATCCTGCATAGAGGTGTGTCCATTAGACCCATATTATGGAGGTGTTTCCTCAGTTAACAGTGGCCAGTCAGAAATCCTACGGTCAAGCGTTGATTTTTCCTGGTCATCGTCAGATATTTCTTCGACGCCAGCTTCCCAGGGAGACTCAGGGTGATCCTGGCAAGATTACATCCTTTAATTCCATCCCATCTCTTTAGGGATTGATCATGGGTGTGACGTTTGGCTAGTTCCGCAATTGTTGAAGTCATCAGGCCGTAGGTGCCACTGGGTCCTAAAATGCTTAGTCCAGCCGCATCCTTGGCTAAAGAGTCGGCAATGCGATTACCTTACTCCTGTCGTGCCCTTCAACCCACCTCAGGATAATGTTATTATCTACCGAGGCTTTGGCTGAATCTTGATGGCACTCTAGTACTAGCCCTGAGGTTATACGTTGTCTGTTCAAGGCTAATAGAGCTTGTCTATCAGTGCAGATTGTTATGTTTTGCCAGAAATTCTTTTCCTGGTTATTTATTTTGCGGCGATTGAGATACCAGCCAGTTGCATTTGTAGCATCTGACTTCGTGTTCTGTTTTATTTGTATTAGAGTTTATTGAACACAAACCTGGGTTCAATTACATCACTGGCTGCTATATTTGGGCCTTAACACATTGTTAATTCATTCAAATGAAGCAAAGAAATGAAGCAAAGAAATGAAATTGATATATTTTTTAATATTTCATTTTCAATAATGATCTCCAAAATACACAACTTTGACACAATTTAAACTTATATCTAACTCATCGGTTTCGATATCATCTTTCATGTGAATTTAATTTAAATGCAACTGTTTGTTCAACAATAGATATTGAGTTTCTGCTTGGTTTCAATTTCAAACATTTCTGTTTTACAAGATTCAATTGGAATTGCTCAGAAAATTATGGAAGATATTTTATCTTTAAGTACATTTTGTATTAGTTATAGCACCAAAATTGTAAGATTGGTTTTTTGTAGTTTTACCGGATATATTAATTATAGAAAATACGATTTAAAAAAATCAAACTCCTAAATAAGTTCCACTCAACCAATTTTCCTCCCTAATCTAGGGTACCGATCCAAACGTCACCATAATTCGACTGAAAATTCATGAATGTTCATTAACAAATTATCTTTATAGCTCAGTCATCTAAGACATCGGAGGTGGCCCAGCGATGAAACGTTCCGAATTTTTGTTGTTTTTAAGATAGATACCAACTATGTGAAACCAAGTTTGCAGGTCGAAAGACCTGTGCAAACTTTAAGGAGCTCGAAAAACACGAAATTTTGTGTTTTTTCAGTTTTTAACGTATATCTTTCAAAGTATGCACCCACGATGAACATTGTTCCATACATTTTTCAATTGAACAAGATCAGCTACAATTTGAATGCAACTGCAGCTCTGTAGGTTAATCAGAAACCTAGATACAGGACATCGAAAATCGGATATACTTCCCAAACATTTCGCAACAGGACTTTTACGCATCTTACGAGCAATACAGAGGCAAAAATACTTATCCGGCGAGGAAAGCCGGGACAGTATAAGATGTAGAGCAGTTATTTTGCTTCCATTTGAGCGCAAGCTGAATCCTGTAGGACAAATAGTTTCCTCATGAAAAAAACGAATAGTCGAGAAAACCGAGGTTTCAGACAACTGTGGCTAAGGAATTGAACCCTTTTTGGAACAGATTTGAACAATAGAAANTCTAGTTGTCATCAAAAGTATGGTAATATAATATATAACATCTCTCCGTTCAAGTTCAATTACTTATATAATTCGAAGTCTTTGAATTTTGATGGTATTCTAATAATTCTATTAGATTTTCTAGGGATGGGTTCTAGGAATAGTTTCAAGAGGTTTGTGGTCTGTTTCAATTGTTATTTCTTTTCCATACACATAATTTTTTTTCAATTTGTGCAAAATTTTGTTCAAATGGTGTTAACGATCTAGAGCCATAAGATATTGGATGAGAATTTTGTAATAAACAGATTCCCAACCCATTTTACTTGCATCACATTGAATTACAACAGGCAAATTTATATCATAATATCTCAATACTGGGGCATTACAGAGTATATTTTTAAGATTTTCAAATGTATTACTGTGTATAAGTAACCAACACCATTCAGCATCACATTTCAGTAAATTTCGTAAGGTTGCATTGATTTCGGAATAATGTGGAATGAATTTTGATAGGTAATTTACAGTTCCTAAAAACCTTCTCAAATCTTCTTTATTTTCAGGCGATTCCATTTCAGTTATGGCTCTCACTTTATCTGGATCTACTTTGAAACCGTTTTCGCTTCTAATATTCCCCATGAATTTTACTGGCTCAACACAATATTGAAACTTTTCTTTATTGAAAGTAATATTGTGACGACTGGCCGTTTCAAAAACCTCATGAAGAATTCGATCATGTTCATCTTTTCTCAAACTTCTTGTTTTATTATTTATATTTTTGTTAATCAATAACTTATCGTTTCTATGAAAACATAAGACATATTTAAATGAGTCAAAAAAAAACAAAACTGAAATAATACACGGAGTGAACAAAGCTGTTTTCCAATAGAACGCAGTCCGAACAGCAAGCATAGAGCTATTAACGAGACTTGAGGACAAGGGAGATTACGACCTCGTCCTCGTAATATTCGGATATGCCGGTGAAAAATGTGAGGAACTAATTCATCTTGCCTTGAGCCTCTGTAACATCATATACGATCTCATGAAATCTTTGATAAAGTAGAAACTGCAGAAAGATGGAACAAAAAAACTAATTCAAAAAGAAGACATGAAATGGACAAAGAAAAACCATCACCTACAATTAGAGGGTGATATGCTGGACCTCTTCTGATTCAGTGAATCATATTTGAAACATGACGAGCTGTGTCATTTGAGTATGCTCTAATATGCCCAGTAGATGCTGAGCTTGTGATTTTTCAATTAGAAAATTAATGAGCTTTTCTTTGTTACTTTATTTTGATAAGAATTTATAAATGAAGCAGATGTACTTAATCATTTTCCATTGAAATGTAATCAGTGGAAATGAGAATATGATCGAAATGTGATTGAAGTGTGTTAATTTTAGGAATCGATATAAGTGTTTGACGCCCAGTTCTTCCACCATTTCNATGATTCGTATTATAAATTCTTGCATCAGCTTTAGCACGTTCATTATTTTGATAATAGGTTGCAACAATTTTTATTCTTTCTTCAGTAGAATAAACTATGTTGAAACACAGTGAACAAGGAAGACTGAATAATAATTCGTGAAGAAGTGACAGTGGCCAACTATCTACTTTTTGTTCTGCGACAACTAGATTCAACAAAATCTACCAGTACAGAAAAAACTAACATTGTCGTCCATTTCAAAACGTTTACTACTAATTTAATAGATTCTACAAATCTAGAAGATCTGCGACAGAGAATTGTTCGGGAATGCTGATTTCTGACATCTTCTGTAATGTAAAGCACGCTTTCGAAAAAAGACTGTATTATTGTATGGAACTAGATGGAGATCATTTCGAACACTTTATCCGTTCTGTTTATTCTTAAATAAAATATTCAACATTTAATTTCTCAATAACGAATGAACCAATTTAGAAAATAATTACAGAAGTTATAGAGGAATAAAAGACATTTCAAATGATGTATCACTAGACCCCCATATGCCACTGAAAAAAATGAGGGGGGTAGTTGCTGACCGCAGGGGGGTTGAATTTCGGGTATGATTTCCATATCAGAATTAGTCCCCCTAGAAATGAAAATTGACCCTTTGTAATTTTCGATTACACGTCCATTTCTGACTCACAGGGGAGGGGGGTCAAGTTTTCGTTGGAACACCCTGTACAACGGATTGTATGTGTAACGCTGTATGTGAAGATCATTTCCGGAAAATAGTTACCGTAGAAATAAAATATAAAATTCAGAAAATTCAATTCCAAAATAAAAATGTTGGCAATTAAATCCGAACATTATAATTAACTGTCATGGACAGCGATTTATGATCATTTTATCGATTAAACAAGTCTGGCACATTCAATTGCTGGAAAACTATATAAAAGCTCTGTAGCCTTTGGATTTTTCATCATTTATTTTCATTGAATAAAATGATCAGAATAAATATTCAAATAATTTTCATTTCAGGTCTTACATATTCCACTCTCTCTCTACTGTCAACCGTAGTGTTTTTGATAGTGGCTACACATATGAATGGCTGGAAACTGGACCGAAAGTACGGGATAGTACTGATGATATGGTATCTAGTTTTCATCACATTCGCCAGTATGTACGAATTAAATGTATTCGGATATTTAAATCCACCAGAATGTGCAACGGATTGGTAAACAGGTGAATGTTGCTTTGTTGTTAGTCAAGTTTCTCAAAGTTCTTCAGTTGCGAAAAAGATTCGAAACTTTTTATATTCATCAGCACAATAACTTATCTTGAGATAGGTTAATCCAAATATTCACCAGGTCCAAAACAAAAATTGGAAACTGTTTGAGCTGTAATTGAATTATGTCTTCCTCTTCCAAATATTAAATACGTTATCTACAGTGAGTTTCAAAAAGTTTGCTCCATATGGGAAACTTTTGTATTATCCATTTGTCAGAAAATTTTATTCTTGATAAAAATTGGTGCATTGCGGAAAACTTGGATTTGAGTTGTCAAAAATCTAAATTTCCGAACGGTGTACAGGGAAGAATAAAAAATAGAAATTTTGATCAAGAGTAAATAACCCTTATTTTCGAAATTATTAAAAAAGTTTGCTTAGAAGAGTTGTTCGAATTTGAAAATAATATTCAGATTTGAAATCACTCTACAAAACGACTTTACTCTAACCTCGATAACTCAGCTGTTTCTGGTCCGATCGACTTAAAATTTCGACACGTTTCAAGCAAAGGTTAGTACTCTAGAAAGACGTGGTTACTGGTTTACTAAGAGCGCCATCTCTGGGTTAGTCTCGGGACTTATTGATCCATGTAGTAGCTATCCACAAAACAAGGCCCACGTAATAATGCCCACGTGAGTTGTACGGCTAAAATAAACTCTGAATAATCAATACTTGAAGATTTTCACTCATTTTTGTTACGTTATAACAATATTTACTTTGAAAGCTCAATTAGCTGTAACACCAGTTTGGTCAACTTTTCGTTCTTCATACAAATTGAGGATAAGTAACTGCTCCACAGCTTCTTTTCTCTTGCCTCCCTTTGCTGGATGAGTAAAAGTACTATGTCGCAATGTTTGGGAAAGATGTCCGATTTACGATGACTTGTATATTGTATATCGGCTTCTAATTGGCCTACAAAGTTGCGGTTACGCTCAAATTTTAGCTGATCGTGTTTAATTCGAGAGTGTATAGAACAAAGTTTACAGTAGGAAACATAATATGAAAGAAAACACCAAAAACTGAAAAAAATACAAAAAGTTCAAGAATTTTTGAGCAACCTGAAGTTTGCACAAATTTTTCGAAACTTCAAACGTAGTTTCACACAGTTACAACATACGAAAAATTCTGAACGCTTCATCGCTTTGCGACCTAACGCGTTCTTTATGTATTAAATAACTGGGCTATTATCAAAATGCCATCATTCATTGCCTGCACTATATAGTGGAATATATGTTGCCAGGTTATTTTTGTACTTGGTTAAACTAGCAGTCAACAGTTTTTGAAATGAATCATTCAGATGCGATACAACAACATTGGGATATACTGTAAGTTTTTCCAGGTCTGTTTCAATTATCGATATATCAGATTGTCCAGAACTTCCTTTGTAGTGATGTTAATAGTTTTGAATATTTTCATCAGCAAAGGAATTTTATTTGTTTCGTCTATTCATGATACACTGCTTTTGAGTAATTGAAACTTCTATTTATTAGATAATACTCTGACACGTTATTTGATGACAATTATTAACGCTATCCATGATAATAGTTATAGAATTTTCACAATTAATTT